CTCTGCTGCAGGTGTGTGAGGGTATAGGATGTTCCTGTATATGGCGTGTAGCCCTCTTCACCGTCCCCCCTTACTGTACATTCGGTATAAAATCGATTAGTGGAATTAACAAGGGATATTATTTTGGAAAACAGCCATTCTTCTGTCGTCCTCCTTCAGTCCTCCTCCAGTGCATGCTCTAAGGAGAAGAGGAGTGTGTGCACAAAGATGGGTCGGCAATAGGTAGAGGAGATGGCGGCGGCGAAAGAAAGCGTTATGCAGGAGGGGGCTTGAAAGAGAGGGGGGGGGGGGGGGGGGGGGGGAGTGGCCCCCTGTTCTGTACCGCATACTGCCCCTTACCACCTCCCGTTGCCCCCGTACCAGCACGTGTTGAAGGAGAAGGGCGACCTGCGAGTGGCTGTGCTGGTGAACGAATTCAGCCCTGTTGACGTGGACTCGCTGCTGCTCCAATCACAGCGCGCCAACGTGGCAGTTGGAGCACCCCCTGGACATGGGGACCTGGCAGGGGGTGAGTGGGTGAAAGAGAAAGTGTGGTTAAGTGGAGGGGGAAGGAATGGATGGATGATACATGAGGGAGCGAGGAAGGGAAAAGTGGCTGGAAGTGAGTGGGAGTGGAAGGGAGGGAGGAATGGAAATAAAGAGTCAGTGAAAGTGAGTAGGAGCTGACTAGATTAAGCCGTTGTCATACATGCCCCTATTCATGCATTCACATGCCCATGCACTCACGTCCCCGTCCCCATGCACTCACATCTCCATGCGCACACATGCCCATGCACTCACATGCCCATGCACTCACATGCCCATGCACTCACATGCCCATGCACTCACATGCCCATGCACTCACATGCCCATGCACTCACATGCCCATGCACTCACATGCCCATGCACTCACATGCCCATGCACTCACATGCCCATGCACTCACGTGCCCATGCACTCACGTGCCCATGCACTCACGTGCCCATGCACTCACGTGCCCATGCACTCACGTGCCCATGCACTCACGTGCCCATGCACTCACGTGCCCATGCACTCACGTGCCCATGCACTCACGTGCCCATGCACTCACGTGCCCATGCACTCACGTGCCCATGCACTCACATGCCCATGCACTCACATGCCCATGCACTCACATGCCCATGCACTCACATGCCCATGCACTCACGTGCCCATGCACTCACGTGCCCATGCACTCACGTGCCCATGCACTCACGTGCCCATGCACTCACGTGCCCATGCACTCACGTGCCCATGCACTCACGTGCCCATGCACTCACGTGCCCATGCACTCACGTGCCCATGCACTCACGTGCCCATGCACTCACGTGCCCATGCACTCACGTGCCCATGCACTCACGTGCCCATGCACTCACGTGCCCATGCACTCACATGCCCATGCACTCACATGCCCATGCACTCACATGCCCATGCACTCACATGCCCATGCACTCACATGCCCATGCACTCACATGCCCATGCACTCACATGCCCATGCACTCACATGCCCATGCACTCACATGCCCATGCACTCACATGCCCATGCACTCACATGCCCATGCACTCACATGCCCATGCACTCACATGCCCATGCACTCACATGCCCATGCACTCACATGCCCATGCACTCACATGCCCATGCACTCACATGCCCATGCACTCACATGCCCATGCACTCACATGCCCATGCACTCACATGCCCATGCACTCACATGCCCATGCACTCACATGCCCATGCACTCACATGCCCATGCACTCACATGCCCATGCACTCACATGCCCATGCACTCACATGCCCATGCACTCACATGCCCATGCACTCACATGCCCATGCACTCACATGCCCATGCACTCACATGCCCATGCACTCACATGCCCATGCACTCACGTGCCCATGCACTCACGTGCCCATGCACTCACGTGCCCATGCACTCACGTGCCCATGCACTCACGTGCCCATGCACTCACGTGCCCATGCACTCACGTGCCCATGCACTCACGTGCCCATGCACTCACGTGCCCATGCACTCACGTGCCCATGCACTCACGTGCCCATGCACTCACGTGCCCATGCACTCACATGCCCATGCACTCACATGCCCATGCACTCACATGCCCATGCACTCACATGCCCATGCACTCACATGCCCATGCACTCACATGCCCATGCACTCACATGCCCATGCACTCACATGCCCATGCACTCACATGCCCATGCACTCACGTGCCCATGCACTCACGTGCCCATGCACTCACGTGCCCATGCACTCACGTGCCCATGCACTCACGTGCCCATGCACTCACGTGCCCATGCACTCACATGCCCATGCACTCACATGCCCATGCACTCACATGCCCATGCACTCACATGCCCATGCACTCACATGCCCATGCACTCACATGCCCATGCACTCACGTGCCCATGCACTCACGTGCCCATGCACTCACGTGCCCATGCACTCACGTGCCCATGCACTCACGTGCCCATGCACTCACGTGCCCATGCACTCACGTGCCCATGCACTCACATGCCCATGCACTCACATGCCCATGCACTCACATGCCCATGCACTCACATGCCCATGCACTCACATGCCCATGCACTCACATGCCCATGCACTCACATGCCCATGCACTCACGTGCCCATGCACTCACGTGCCCATGCACTCACGTGCCCATGCACTCACGTGCCCATGCACTCACATGCCCATGCACTCACATGCCCATGCACTCACATGCCCATGCACTCACATGCCCATGCACTCACATGCCCATGCACTCACATGCCCATGCACTCACATGCCCATGCACTCACGTGCCCATGCACTCACGTGCCCATGCACTCACGTGCCCATGCACTCACGTGCCCATGCACTCACGTGCCCATGCACTCACGTGCCCATGCACTCACGTGCCCATGCACTCACATGCCCATGCACTCACATGCCCATGCACTCACATGCCCATGCACTCACATGCCCATGCACTCACGTGCCCATGCACTCACGTGCCCATGCACTCACGTGCCCATGCACTCACGTGCCCATGCACTCACGTGCCCATGCACTCACGTGCCCATGCACTCACGTGCCCATGCACTCACGTGCCCATGCACTCACGTGCCCATGCACTCACGTGCCCATGCACTCACATGCCCATGCACTCACATGCCCATGCACTCACATGCCCATGCACTCACATGCCCATGCACTCACATGCCCATGCACTCACATGCCCATGCACTCACATGCCCATGCACTCACATGCCCATGCACTCACATGCCCATGCACTCACATGCCCATGCACTCACATGCCCATGCACTCACATGCCCATGCACTCACATGCCCATGCACTCACATGCCCATGCACTCACATGCCCATGCACTCACATGCCCATGCACTCACATGCCCATGCACTCACATGCCCATGCACTCACATGCCCATGCACTCACATGCCCATGCACTCACATGCCCATGCACTCACATGCCCATGCACTCACATGCCCATGCACTCACATGCCCATGCACTCACATGCCCATGCACTCACATGCCCATGCACTCACATGCCCATGCACTCACATGCCCATGCACTCACATGCCCATGCACTCACATGCCCATGCACTCACATGCCCATGCACTCACATGCCCATGCACTCACATGCCCATGCACTCACGTGCCCATGCACTCACGTGCCCATGCACTCACGTGCCCATGCACTCACGTGCCCATGCACTCACGTGCCCATGCACTCACGTGCCCATGCACTCACGTGCCCATGCACTCACGTGCCCATGCACTCACGTGCCCATGCACTCACGTGCCCATGCACTCACGTGCCCATGCACTCACGTGCCCATGCACTCACGTGCCCATGCACTCACGTGCCCATGCACTCACGTGCCCATGCACTCACATGCCCATGCACTCACATGCCCATGCACTCACATGCCCATGCACTCACATGCCCATGCACTCACATGCCCATGCACTCACATGCCCATGCACTCACATGCCCATGCACTCACATGCCCATGCACTCACATGCCCATGCACTCACGTGCCCATGCACTCACGTGCCCATGCACTCACATGCCCATGCACTCACATGCCCATGCACTCACATGCCCATGCACTCACATGCCCATGCACTCACATGCCCATGCACTCACATGCCCATGCACTCACATGCCCATGCACTCACATGCCCATGCACCCTCACATGCTTATGTTCCTCAATCTGCAGGTTGTGCATGCTGCCACGTAAGCGATGGGCTCAAAAAGGCTGTGCGAGCAGCGGTTGGTGGCGCCATGTCAGCATGCGACTACCTCATTCTGCAAGTGAATAGCTCGTCCTGATTCTGCTGTGTCTGCATGTGTCGTCCTACTACATCTCATCTGTGTGCTACTTTGATCGGTGAAACTGGCCTTAGTGGGGACATTGGTGGCATTGGAGGAGGCAAGGGGGTCATGGGGTGGGGACCAGGGGAGGGAGGGAGGGATGGAAGGCAGGGTAGGCAATGATGGGGATGGTGGCGATTGTGTCATTTCTTCTTTTCCTCGTTACCTGCCCAATTCCGCCCTCCGTTCCTCCAGACGTCAGGCCTAGCGGACCCTCAGCCAATAGCCGCCCAGCTGATGGAAGCTGGGGTGCGGCTCGATAGAGTGGTGGCAGTGGTGGAGGCTGAGACTCTTCCGACCCTCCTCGAACAGCAGCCAATAGTGCGGCGACAGCTGGCAGCGGCTGATTTGGTTTTGCTGAATAAGTGAGTTGATGTGGGGAAGGAGAAGGGGGGGAAGGAGAAGAGGAGGGGAAGACGGGGAGGGAGAGGGGGAGGGTGTTTGGAACGGAATCAATTGTGCTGGCTCAGAATGTATTGGAGGATATGGGAGGATGAGGGTGAGAGGATAAGGGTGGGAGGATGAGCGTGTGACATGATATGCTTAAAGGCTGCGCTGTGATCTGAGATGTATTTGCATCGCTGCTAAGCTTACTCCACATGACTGTCCCAGGCCTCTCTCTCCCTTGCCCTTCCCTCCCGTGTCCCTCTGTCCCGTGCCCGTTTGTCCCGTACCCCTCTATCCCATCCATGCCCTTCTGTCCCATACCCCACTATCCCGTGCCCCTGTGCGCCATGCGCAGGTGTGACCTGGTGTCCCTGGGTGCGCTCTCAGATGCAGAAGACATGCTCCTGAGATTCCTCACCACAGGCGACGATTCCAGCCACCCACATGGCCACGAACATATTAACGACGCACATGGCAGCAGCACTCACTCTTGCACCTCCTCTCACACACACTCCCATCCTCCCGCCTCCTCCTCCGAACAACCATCCAGCTTGCCTCCTCCCCCTGTAGTCCGCACCCGTTACTGTCACGTCCCCTTGGATCTAATCCTGGATACCGTTCCTGTGTCGCAGCCTGCTCCTCCTCTCACTTCAGCATCCGCTCACCTCTCCTCTGGCTTCCTCTCTCATGAAGCCACTGCTGCCCCCTCCTTTCGCACTCCCTCTGCTCCAACTCCCTCCCCCCTCCCTCCCTCCTTGCACGAGGAAGGGAAAGAGCCAAGTGCAAGGCATGGAGCGAGGAGATGTCAATTGGGTGCACCTGCACCAGGTCATGCCTCCACTCCGTTTACATCACTCCTCTTTGAGTCACAGCACCCTCTTCCGCTTGCTGCATTCCAGCACATCGTGGCCACCAGACTGCGAGGCAGAGGCGCCAGCAGCAACAAGAACCCCAGTGGCACCGCCTCCAGCAGCACCACCAGTGGGTGTGCTCCAGTGAAGGGTTTGCTTCGAGCCAAGGGCTTCCTCTATTTCAAAGAGCTACGGTAAGGAGTCACAGCGGGTGTCGGGTAGGTTTTTTGGACGTGTGGTCCTAGGAGTCCAGGATATTCCAGCTTTAAGCTTCTGGTAGCCTTGTTCACTACATTTTCATGCCTTCTTTAGCTTCTTGCCCCTCATCGTCTCGCGTGTTTTGTCCTCCCTCCCTGCCAACCCATCCTTCCTCTCCCACTGCCTTCCTCTTCCCTCCGATCATCTTTCTTCCTCTCTTTCCACCTCCAAGCCATCTGCGGTTTGTGTTCCAGCTGAGTGGCAGCAGCCGCTGCTCCTGCACTGCCATCGACACCTGGGACTGCCCACCCTCCTGCCGCCTCGTGCTCATCGGCCAGGACGCTGCTGAGCTGGCAGGCCTGGTGTCTGAGCTGGAATCACTCGCAGAGGATCACAAGACGGATGATGGGGGGGAGGGTTGGGGGGATGGGGTTTTAGATGTGGTTTGTGAAACAGGCTCGAGGAACGTGGCTGCGGAGGTGGTATGTGGGAAAGGCTCGGCTGCTGCTGAGGCAGCGAGGCTTGTGGAAATGCTGACAGCAGATGAGAGATTTGAGGTGAGATGTGTGGTTATTGATGAGTGGTGAGTGGCGGTTTGTAAATAATGGGGGGTGGATGGTTGTTGGTGAATGATGGGTGGTGGTGAATGGTGGCTGATGAAGGATGGGTGGTGATTGATGGTCAAAAGGCATGACTGGTAAGTGGGGTAGTGGGGCTGTGATGGAAAACAGAACTTAACGTGGGAGGGGGTGATCGGTGTGGCTGATCTAAGCGAGCTCACACAAGCGAGTCCTTGCCTGTACTCAATCTCAAAGTTGGTCGCTGGTGTGACATCAATTTGGAAAACTTCAAGTTGCGATGGAATCTGTTCATTGTGATGAACGCAGCTCCGCACGTCAAACAGAGGGGGAAAGTTAACAGCTGAGATACGGGGAAGAACGTGCAGTACTTCACTTGTGGAGTTTGGAATGAAGAGCATCCCACTCAAGGGCATCCATCAGGTATGGCGAAAACGAATGCATCATCAGGTAGAGTGAATTTGTTTTCCCCTTGATTAGATTGTGCTGCTTGAAGAGCTGTACCTGCAAACATAAAAACAAACCATTTCGTTTTCCTGACGAGAATATCTTTTGTAGCACACACCATTTGTTGTATGATGAAGGTAGCAATTTGTCAGGTATGGTAAAGGCAGGAATTTATCAGGTACAGTTAGCCACCTAGCCAGGAAAGTATTCGCCTTCACGCATCGTTTGGTTAAACGCAGAGCTTATCCATCAGGTACAGTTAGGGTACGTTGATATTCAATATGGTGAAGGCTGGCATTCATCAAGTATGTTGAAAATATTCCACGACGAGGTGCTCCTGCAAATCCATGGAAAGGTTTTGTAAGCTCTTGCAAGCATCAATCACTGACAGAAAAATTATCCGTGGAGATTCACCATTTGCATGATAGCCACCCAGCAGGTTTGTGCGTGTAAGCATCCATCATGGATTTTGAAGATGAGCTTCCATTGATGATGGTGCATGTAAGCATCCATCATGTATGTCGAGAGAGCTTCAATTCGTTATGGTGCATGTCAGCATCCATCAGGTATTTTGAATATGGGCTACCATTAGTTATGGTGCATGTACGCATCCATCAAGTATGTTAAAGACGAGCTTCCATTGGTTATGGTGCATGTAAGCATCCATCGGGTATGTTGAAGATGAGCTTCCATTAGTTATGGTGCATGTAAGCATCCATTAGGTATGTTGAAGATGAGCTTCAATCCGTTATGGTGCATGTAAGCATCCATCAAGTATGTTGAAATTGGGCTTCCATTAGTGATGGTGCATGTAAGCATCCATCAGGTATGTTGAAGGTAGGCTTCCAATAGTTGCGGTGCGTATGATCATCCATCAAATTTTAGGATGAGCTTCCATTAGTTATGGTGCATGTAAGCATCCATCAGGTATGTTGAAGACGAGCTTCCATCGGTTATGGTGCATGTAAGCACCCATCAGGTATGTTGATAATGAGCTTCCATTAGTTATGGCGCACGTAAGCATCCATCAGGTATATTGAAGGTGAGCTTCCATTAATCATGGTGCATATAAGCATCCATCAGGCATGTTGAAGTTGAGCTTCCATTAATCATGGTGCACGTAAGCATCCATCAGGAGTTTGAATATGGGCTTCATTTGATAATGGTGTATGTAAGCATCCGTCAGGTATGTTGAAGACGAGTTTCCATCAATTATGGTGCATGCAAGCATCCATCAGGTATGAGCTTCCATTTAGTATGGTGCAGTAAGCATCCATCAGGTATGGGTTTTTTTCTGAAAGAATGACGCCCCAGCATGAGGCGTACCTGCACGTCCACAGATGGGTTTTTGTCATTTCTTGGAAACTTCAAACGGAATGATGGAATCGTAGCCTTTCACGAATAGTACTTCTGAGCCCACAAAGCTGGTGATGCAGAACGCCTCTTTCTTGCATACCCCTCCTCTTTGCCTGCATAACAGAACGCGCTGAATGCATCATTGCTGGCGTACATGAACAATCAAGCTACACAACCCGTATTCGTCTGCTCGACTCTCCCAACTCTCAACGGTGAGTTCATCATACTTACCGCATCCTTGTTGATGTTTCCTCACCGTTTGTTGATATTCTATGTTATAATAACCAAGCTAAGCTGCCCATCGGACTGACACATTTAACACGCAGCTGGCCCTCTGATTCTGGGGATGCGAGCGTCGTCCGAGGTGGAGATGCTCTTTGACCTGCTCTCGATTGCAGCCAGGCGGAGCTTGTCTCAGGCTCTCAAGAACGTCTCCTCATGCAGGTACCAGTCCGTGCTTCCAGTAATCCCTTTCATCTACTGGAAGTATTATTGCTTCGAAATGACGTCCGTTCGAAATCGGTTCTTCAGGTGCGACGTGGTACATGACATGGTAAACACGAAATGACCGCGCGAACACGACGGCGGGTACCGGAGTTGACATGACTGACGAAGACAGGATTCCTTCCCATTGAACCGCTCCGGAAAGGCGTTGTCTTCACTGAAGTTGACTAAAGGCAGATAAATCCCATCTCAGAGGTTGGTCTGGTGCAAATATTGTTAAAGCTCAAGGCCCAAATTGCGGGCCGCGCTGGGCAAGATTACTAATCTTGCTAAGCGGCTGTTTGGGTGCTGTGAGTTGGCGAATTTCGGGTTACACTAGGTACGAACGAATCTAATTGGTCGAGACCAAACTCACCGCGCAAACTTCATGTTTCAGTATTTCTCAATTTGGGACTATCGGACCCAAACAGAGTGTTTGGCCCAGAGTTTGCTGACTCAGCAAGTTTTGCGAGAGCTTGACGAAAAAAGCGAACCCCACTTTCTCGACTTTCATTTCACCTCCCAAACCACCAGCCCAAACCCTTGCGCAAGATTACTAATCATGCGCAATTTGGGCCTTGAGCTTTAAATTTCCTGAAACATCAAAAGGACGACTCTTTGGACGCTCACTACGGAGTCGAGGGAGTAGCTCTGATTGACTAGAGTGGCACAAAATTTTTGCAATAGAGCTTCTTGTTTCCAATTTAGCTGCAGAATCAAGCAGCTATCTTGTCCCCCGGACAAGACGACTCGAAAGCTTCCAGAACCTGGCGCCAGCTGTTGAACGCGGTTTCCTTGGGGACGTGTTTTTTGTGCACTGCTGGCGGGCTGCATGCTGATTGGCTGCTTGCCACTAGTTTGGTTTCTCAACTGGGGTTTCGTAACAACGCGGAAACGAAAAGATTCAGCGTCGCAGCAATGCCAGTTACCAGCAACCAGTCCAGGTACTTCGTCCAGCGCCAAGATGATCTGTAGCTGTCAGATATCTCAAGTTTCGCAACAACGCGCAAATGAACGGATTTGCGTCGAATCCCAAACCAGCAACCAGCTGCCAGTCCAGGGACTCCCCCATGCACGAATGCGACAAGGTCAGGGATACGTGACAGAAGGGGAAACGCGGCTTCATGTTTCCCCTTAAAGCTCTAGGCCCAAATTGCACAAGATTACTAATCTTGCGTGGTGAGGGGTGGGTTTGGGAACGTGGGGGTCGAGGGGAGTGTTGGGAAGGTGACCTGTCGGATTTCGCCCGTAACACTTGTTTTTTTCGCTGAGTCAGCGAGCTTCCGGGGGAAACGTGAGTTTGGGGACCTCGAGTCCCAAATTGCAGAGTAGTAAAACTCGATGTTTTGGCAGTGAGTTTTGGTTCGACCAATCAGATTGCATCGCACCTACTGTAACCAAATTTTCGCCACACACCAGCACAGAAAACGAGAAGTGTGCAAGATTACTAATCTTGCCCTGCGCGGCCCGCAATTTGGGCCTTGAGCTTTAAAGAATCCGAGCTCGGCTGGAAACGAGTGTAGGGTAACTTGGGCCAAGGCAAAGCAACATGCCGCAGGTTCCGCGATTCGCGAACTGTTCGCCTCCGCGTCTGCTGCCATCCCAGAGCTACCTACTGCTGCGTTGCGTCAGCGACAGAAATCAAGCCTCGTCCACTACAAGCTCGATATTTCGCTGCACAAGCAGCCACTTTCGCAACTCCTCAATGGCTGTCGCCTGGACCGCGGGATTGTCGACTGAGCCACCAGCAAGTAGCGAAGACTTTCGCACAACAATCTTCGCCAAATTGGGGCACAGCAGCGAAGCCTTAGCGATGTCCTCTAGTCCACATACCATCTTCGTCAACACCAGGATCTCAAGGTCTCGATGCATGACAGATTCGCTGGTGCTGCTGATGAGATTCCCAAGGTTCCCACCAACCAGCTCCAAAACTCTCAGCGAGTAGCATTTACGCAAAGCCATGAGGTCATCTGTTCCAAGGGCTCCGCAGTGGATGCGAAGGCACGTCAATTCCCGCCACGCAATGACCATGAGGTAAATTGCCTGCTTCGATAGACTGTTCTGGCACAGGCAGGCGAAGCTGCGGATGTGGCGGAAGCCCGAAGTGAGGTACCACATGGCCTTGTTCTCCAAATATGTGAAGTTTCCTTGCTTTCCGTCTGAAATGAGCTCCACGCTTTCGACATTGCTGCAATACAAGCTGCAAACGAAAACAAAGGGAGTGTGAGTTTTTGAACTGGATGATAACCCGTAAGTCGCAGTTCAGGGAAGCAATAGCGCGGAAACTCGCATGACTTGAAAATATGGGCTTCACGACTGAACTCAACGCACCTTACTATCCAAAGAACGCTGCATATTGACGCCTCGTTGCGGCTCGTGTTGTCCCTGTCGCAGTCGATAACGATTCGACGAAGAGAACTTCCGCAAGCCATGATGATCGGATGGAGCACGTGCAGCTCGCAGCGAGGATCGTCAATATGCAGCTCCACCAGGTTCGTGCACCGTGCCGCGAGCTGCTCCACTCCCGGACGCATACTCCCAGGTCCAATCCGCAACTTCGTCCAGAAAATCTGGTTGTAAGAGAGCTCGCGCCACGTCTTATTCACGCACGCCATACGACAGAGGTCCCAGGCGGTGGGCTGCGCGAGCTGGAAAATGTGAAGGAGCAAATCGTCGCCTAAGTCGGAAAGCGACGGCTTTTCTGCAGCTACAACGGAAGGTTTCGGAAGACCTAGAGTCAACTCAGTCAGGCAGTCAGATACAGCCTCGTTGTCGTTGGAAAACTTGTCGTTCGAGGCGTCAGAGAGGCGCGACCTCTTTGCGGCTTTCGGCGAGTGGAAATCGAGGTTGAAATTTGTGCTCCATTGTTCAACGTCGCGCTTGGGAACACCCATACTCGAAGAAATGGTGGTCGACATCGCTGAAGCTATCCTGGTCGCAACTGTGGCTCTGCTAGGCTACGTGCTCGAAGGAAAGAGGAACCGTTGAGGTAGAGAAATGTAGGCACCGGTGACGAACGCTAGAACGATAGAATTGATTTGGAATGTTCAGCCGCAGCATCCCCTTTTTGTACTGCGCCGAGTTCCACCGCTCACCGACTCGGGGACTCGCTGAGGGAACCTCTGACATGCAGAACCGAAGCGGCTTGTGGGAGAAAACTGGGGCACTGGGGAACGAAGGACCCAGAATGCAACTACAGCGCCACTCCCAGCCTGAGTTGATACGATGAGCTGGAAGGTGGATCGTACAGTGGCATTACAGTTGACACGCTCGGGTGTCACAACCCTAAAAAGTGTGACCATTGAGGCTGTTGCTGCGAAACAGTTGGAAAGTGCAGTGGTACGATCCGCTTTTGGATCACGGGCTGTTGGAAAAAGCTTCGGGAATATGGTGGCCTACCAAACAACTTGCGGCCCCTCCCATCCTACACCCTATTTGCGATAATTTCACACCCCTTAAACTCACACCCTGGGTGTACATACCCGGGATACAAACATTATTGTAGGGTAGTTCGCTGCGAATATTGAACAGCTGGTGGGTGTTCCGAAACCCAGTCGCGTATAGTTCTAAGCATTAAAAACTTCAGTCGTGCCTGCCCAACCCCGTCCTCACTCGGAACACATGGTGTAATTTCAAGGGAAACTGCATCTCGCTGTCGACTGATAGTCCTTGAGTTTCAGGGTGTCCGTCATATCGAGCCTGAATCGGTATAGGGCACCTTCAAAAAAGAAGGTAGGGGGTGTGCAATTATCGCGAATAGGGTGTACCACGCGGTGAATCTTCCTGCTGGAAGGACGCAATGGGACGGGTGGGATGCAGAATCGGATGAGCAAAAAAATCTACGAGTTCCAGTTAAACGTCGTGTGGAGCCGTTACGCGCTGCTGCAGGATTGGCTGGGAAATTCAGAATTTTCATTCTGTTTATTGAATTGACGTTCTTCCAGTTACTGGCTTCCAGTTGGCCTCCAGGGTGGATTTCTGTGTCCCCAGCTTGCACTATCAGCAAGGAACGGGTTCAGATCACCAAGAAATGCCCACTAAGAATATGACATGTTGCAAAAAGCGTTGGCGAAAGCAATGACCCCCCTTCGAAATTTACACGTGAGATGTTGACGAGGAGTTGTGGCTCATGCCTACCACGGTTCCCCAACAATCTTGTGAAACACAAATCACAGACCTCCAGCATGTCTGCCAACATGGAGCAACACGGTCCACCAACTTGATGTTCGCGTTAAGAGCTGCCAACTGCGCGTAATGGAATCTTTTGTGATTTCCGATGGGAAATAGCAAATATTGATTAATAGAATCTGAGCCATATATCTAGAAGGACACATAACCAACCTAGCATAGCAACACGCAGGAATAAATAGCTCGTGTGAGATGATAACTATTTATATGTAAATGTATTACGAAGAGCCTTGGGGATAATGCTGATTGACTAGTTCAAATCGAATCAACTTGGATATACTTCTTAGGATACTTGCGGAGAACTCATGTACATGGGTAAGGTCAACCCGTACACATGATGCTCAGCTGCTGCGTGCGAATTTGCCCTGTACGCGCCAGAAAGTATGCACGCGTGGTTAGCCAGTTGCACCATGTTTACAAGCCCCTCGAGCAAGTTGCAGTGACGATTAACCAATGGTAACGAATACTGACCGACGTCTGCCAATGTCTAATTTTTGAGAAATCTAAAAGCACTTCTTTGCTAGCTGCGACTTTGACGAGGCTTGCGAGACGTGAAAACTCACTTACAAGCCCCCTTCACAAGGCAACCTTGGGTTAGTCAAACGAGCATCGTGTGTACACTTCTTACTCGATGCCGCTCTTGGTGAGTCCGACGGGTTCTACTGGATTGGTTTGTTATCCACAGTTCTTGATGCTGATTCGCTGCTGGACGTGCTGGGGCACACGCAATACGAGCCGCCCGTCCACGTTCAGCACCGTCGAATGCTGCTGACGGTGGGTTGATATCATCAGCGAAGTCTAAGTGGCTGGCATTTTCGAGGTTCCAAAAGCGGGTTCCTCGCAAATCCTATCAAGTTATCTCGAACGTCTAAAATGCCACGTAAACACATCAAAGGCTGTGCGTTTGTCCAGTATCCATTTCATGAACCCTCCATCACTCGCGTCGGAAGCGGTCTGCCCTTGAGATTGGCAATTTCAAGCACGCGACACGAAAATCCTTTCATCACTTGTGCCCTTTCCTTGCCAGCTGCCCGAAAGTTGTGGGTGTCGGATGGGGAGAGGGAAGGAAATAACTTCACCTATTTTGCCTCACTGCCCGTCATCGTCCTACATTAGTAGAATCGAAACATGAATTACGCATTCTACACTTGACCGCATCATCTTATCCATCCAACCGTTCTCTACATCATTTTCTGGCCTCCACCCACTCCCATCGTTTTCTTTCAGCTGTCCCCGTGATTCTCCGTCGTTCTTCTTTGCCCCTCCTCCTTCCTCCCCAAGTTTGCAGTGAAGTCCGGCCAGAGACACAGGTGTGATTATTTCCTTGCTTCTTTCCGCGTGTGATGACAGTTTCTGGTGGGTGCTGACTCCGAGTGAACGTTTTCCATGGCTGTCTGTTAATCAGCTGACGGGGTTATTCGTGTGCACTGCAAGGAAGTCCACTTCTTTTCATTTCCACCATTAGCTCAGCCAGCGTGACACGACACAGGAGGGGAATTGGCAGGACACGACATCACGCAAGGAGAAGGAAATTCTCTGCGTGTCTTGCTCTGACCAGACCACGTGCTTCTGGGTTGAGACTAGGGTTGGCAGAACTGTATTGATGCATGTATATCTTCGACCACGGAATACCAAAGCCGTTCTTTTCTCTCGTTCGCTGACAACTGCGGCGTTGCTAGCTCGCCAAACTAACTCGTTTGCCGAATCGATTACAAGTTCGACATCGTCTGTCATACCAACGACGTCACAGGGAACTTGAAATAGGCCTTAATTTTACTCGTTCTCCTCGTCGTCGTACATGGCTACTCCGGGGATTGGCAGCAGCAGCGGCAGCAACAGTCGGCTCGTCCAGATGCTCACAAGCGGCGCGAGCCAAACTAGCTTCTCCGAGCTCGTGCTTGAGCTGCTCTCCGTCGTCGCGCCGCTCTGGCTCGCCGTCATCGTCGGCCTTATCCTCGGGTGGTCATGGCGGCCGCAGTGGGTCAACTCCCTCGCGTCGGACCCGCGTTCCTCCGCCTTCTGGTCGCTTCTCACCGGCGGACCTTTTAAAGAGGCGTGGTCAGCGGGGTGGTCATGGGGCCAGGCTGTGCTGGACTCGTGCGGTCAAGCTCAGGTTCCGGGATTCCCGGCAGCGGGAGCTAAGGAGGGAGTTAAAGGGGCTAGAGAGCCCGGGTTTCAGGCGGTAGGGGTGCTTTTTGGGAGAGATTGGAGCTCTCTGGGAGAGAAGGTGCTGCCTTGGCGAGCGACTGAGAGGGTTGGTGGCTCTGGGAAGTTGAAATTAGATGCTTTGGGGAGCGATGCCGTTGAAGCGAGGAGGCCGGAAGGCGCGGAGGAGATTGGCGAACGTCGTAACGGTAACCGTGTAATTGATTCCGCGACCGGCGCTGCGGATAGCAGACGGGAGCGTCAAGTGAACGGCGAGGCAGTCAGCAACGAAGCTGTGACTGACGAGTACGTCTCTTTCCTGCTCAACCCGTTCACCGATTCCTTCCTTCTCTCACGCTTCTCTTTCGTCTCTAAACAATTTCGTCTGGTTCTATCCTCGCCTCGTCTTTCGCAATTTCTTCTGCCTTTTCCTCGACAAGACCGTCTGCCCATCGTATCCTAACCCCTCTCTTTGCATCCCCGGATTTCTTCCTGACCGCCGCAGGCCGTCTGTGCAGTCGCGGTGCAAGGGCTTGCGCCGGCCATCGTTGCAAACAGGAAACCTTCAGCTGCTAGAGGTCGGCCGTAACGTGCATGGGCACGCCAACGGGCACGGCGCCGAGCATGGCGGTTCGGAAGCGGATATGGAGTTAGTTCTTACCGAGGATGACTTGGAGGAGTTTTGCGCCAAGGTGGAGGGCAAGGACGGCGGGCCGGAGTGGCAGCTGCTCATGGAGAAGACGGCCCCGGGGATGCAGTACACGGGCTGGCGACGGGACCCTGAGGTGAGTTTAATTCGTATTATTATTTAGTTTTCTATCCGTCTTTGTGACTGTAAAGAATTGGCGCTATGGTGGGGATGGGCGATGCTGGAGAAGACTGCCCCGGGGACGCAGTACACCGGCTGGCGATGGGGAACCTGAGGTGAGTTTCGTTTTCCTCTTTTTTTCCCCAAACGGCAATGCCCGACGGAGTGTTTTTGCTGAGAGGACAGGTGACACGGTCTTGCGCTCGTCGGCGCTCATGCGCGGAATATTAACTCCTTTCCGCGCCTTTCCCCGTTGCTTCCGCGTTCCTTTGCCGGTTTGTCTCCGTCCCCGTTCCCCCCAACAGCAAGGCCCCACGGAGTACCGCAGTCGCACGGTGATGGAGCGGTGCTCGTCAGCGCTCATGCGTGACTTCTTTTGGGACGACGAGTTCCGCGCGGCGTGGGACGACATGCTCGTGCAGGCGCGCACCATCACCGCCTGCGAGCGCACCGGCTTCCAAATTGTGCACTGGGTCCGCAAGGTTAGTTGCTTGCTCATTCCACTCACGTCCCAATCTCGTTGGGCTCCCCCCACCCGTCCCCCGCTGCCCCATCCCTGTCCCACCCTGCCCCACCCTTGTCCCACCCTGCCCCACCCTTGTCCCACCCTGCCCCACCCTTGTCCCACCCTGTCCCATTCCTGCCCATTCCTGCCCATCTTGTCCCATTCCAATCCCACTCCTGTGTCATTCCTGTCTCACTCCTGTCCCATTCCTGTCCCCCCGTACCTCAGTTTCCGTTTTTCTGCAAGGACCGCGAGTACGTGATAGCGCGGCGCATCTGGTCGCACGACGACACCTTCTACTGCATCACCAAGGGCGTGCACCACCCCGAGGTGCCCAAGCGCGACAAGCCCCGCCGCGTCGAAGTCTTCTACTCCAGCTGGCGCATCCGCCCCGTGATTGGCGCCGAGGGCAGCAACGCAGCGGAAGTCATGCTGTTTCATCATGAGGAGATGGGGCTGCAGAGGGATATTGCGAAGCTGGGCGTGCGGCAGGGCATGTGGAGCGCTGTGAGGAAAATGGAGCCTGCGATCAGGAAGTATGAGAAGCAGCGCGCTGAGGCCTCGCGGCCGTTGAGCCGGTGTGTCTCGCTGGCGAATCTGCACACGCCGATTGTGCCGTCGCCTGGGAGTAGCCGGGACGGGGAGGAGGATGGGGGAGGTGTGGAGGAGGGGAGTGGTGGGGTGGGGAGGAAGGGAGGGTTGAAGAAGAAGGGTGGGATGGGAATGAGGAAATGGGTGAGCTTTTCGGATTTGGCGATGGCTGGGGAGGCGAGGAGGAGGGGAGGGGTGGAGGAGGATGAAGAGGAGAGGGAGAAGGGAAGGAGGGTTGTGGATGAAGCTGCAGGGGATGAGGGGCAAGGTAGTAGTGGCAGGGCAGGCAGCAGCAGCCAAGTCGTGGTTGCAAGTGGTTCAGGCAATGCTGGTGCTCATTCGCCAGGTGAAAGCTCAACCGTTGGATCTGGAGATGGCAGAGGAAGACGACGGTCTGGATCTGCCCAGCAGGAAAGGAGTGATTCTTGTGATCGAGGGAGCGAGGTGATGGTGAGGAGTGCCGAGGTTGTGAGGGGTGATGCAAATGGAGAGGAGAGGAGAGGGAAGAAGGTGGGAGCGGGGAGGGTGGGATGGGTGGTGGCGACAACTGCTTTGGCTTTCATCTGTGGGGTGGAGGCGGGTGTGCTGATGAAGCTGGTGGTTGCAGGGGCGGTTCAAAATATGGCTTCAAGACGTGCTGCTGCTGCGGCTAGGAAGGAAAGATTGCAGAACTAGGTTGGTGCGTGTGGCATGTGGTCTAGCTGATCTTGGTGTAGTCGGCGCATCCTCCCGGTTGCCCAATTTTGGTCTCAGATTGGCGGGCAGTGCTTCTTGGTTATGGAGACTGTTGTTTCCATGTATGGTAATAGCCCCTCTGTTTAATCATATCTTCATGTAATGACCACGCTGAGGTTCTATGCTTGACAAAATTACTAAATTAGAGTGCCACATCTTTGTTTCATTTTCCTGCCAGCTGTCGCAGCTAACAGAAGAAGCGGATCACGTAGGGCTTCGCGCCAATTCCTGTCTGACTCTCACTTCTGCCGCACTTCGTTCCGCTCGTTCCCCCCGTTTAGCTGTCGCACCCCGCGACGACTGCTAGTCGACTTCCCCAAACCAACTTTGCTTGGGCCAAGATTCCCTATGCCAGGAGCGATTCCCCAAATCTCATCTCCCTCAACCGTGCTTAATTGATCAGCAACCGCTCTGTAACGCAGGGTGTCACTGCCCCTCTTCCGCCTCTCCCAGCCCAGTCAGCAATTTCCGCAGGGGCGTTAATTAACCCCCCCCCACCACGTAGGCCGCCACCGCGCCTCTTGCTGGCGAAAGCGCAGCCGCAGGGCCCCATTGTGCGCCGTAGGCCACGCTGAACCACCCGAGGGTTTCATCCCGCGTCGCAGTGCTAGCGAAATTTTCACCGTAGATCTCCCAACTCCGCTTCCGCACTGCACTGTGCTCTAGACTTGCCGCTGGTCTGCTTCTTATGTAGGACACTGTTTCATCTCGTAGGAAGCCCCATTGGTTTCGTCGCCTTAGCAGGATTGGAGGCGGCGACCAAAACTAAGCATTATATATGTAACGCCGTATTTTAGTAGTCGGAAAAAAGCGTAGCTTTATGGTGATCATCCTAATCATGTGCACTGCCTGTAGGCAAGTCGAGCCGCGAGCAGCTCGCTCGAATCGCATTATGTTTAAGTTGTGAGAGGGTCAGAAGCCTGATATTTGATCGAGGAATACGATTTCTAACAAGCCTAAATAGAAGCCTAGTAGTAAGCCTAACAAACAAGCCTTTATGAAAGCATAATAGCACGCTATTAAGAAGCGTACGTAATAGGCCTGCGCGAATCATGGTGGCATCAGAGGTAGCACAACGCGACGTTACGCGGTCGCCGTCTGGCGCCGCAATGCTCGCCGCAAGCAATGCCGGTGTCGGCGCATCAGCGAGCAGCGCGTCGGGCGGCGGCTTGACTGCAGAAGAGGACGTTACCGTTCTCGAGGTACCGCAGCCACGTGGCGCTCCTCCATTGGTTACTGTCGTTCCATGCTAGCTAATAAGCTGCCCTCCGTCCGTTCTGCCATTTCCCCCAATCTAGTCTTTGATTCTCTCTGTTTTCTGTCCTTTCCTGCTTTTGTCTTTTCTCCTCCCCCTTCCCATGCAACCTCGTCCCTCCTCCTCCCATCCTTCGGCCACTGCGGAAACTGCAAAGTCGTGTTCTCTCCCTGCTTCCCGCGCTTCGTTGCTGCCGTACCTCAGTCGCAGGCTCGGGCGTGGATCGAGCGTGTCTTGGGTCGGCAGCTTCCGTCGGAACGCCCGCTCCCCGATATCCTGGAGGACGGGCAGACGCTGTGAGTCCTGCTCCTATTCCGGAGCCTTTTCAATTTACTCAGTGCGTTGCCGGCCTTTCGTGGTGTGCAACGCGACCTCGCTGTGAGTAACGCGACCGGAATAAAGTAAGGCCCGCTATGAGGCTTCCTCACATTGTTCCGTGGGCCTTACTTAAATTTCTTAAGTCTCTTCATTAAGTTCCGGAGTTTTTTATCATCACCCCTGGAGCTGCTATCTGTGCTGTCAGTCTGAATTTTATCATCAGTCTGTTCTCAAGTGCTCTCCTTCCCCTTTCTCCGCCCATCACCCACTCTTGCCTCCCCATCCCCACGTCACCAGCGCCCGTCCCCTCCTCGCCCGCCCCCTCACACTTTCATTCCGCCCGCTGCTATTTCCGCTTTCTCTTCTCCAGTCTCCCCCTTTTCTGATCCTCTGAACACTTCCCCGCCTGTCCCGTCCGCCTTTCCCCCCATCCACCCATCCACCAACTCTCACCCTTTTTTGCTGGAACCTCTCCATTCCCCCACCAACCCCTCTCTCCCCCTCCCCTCCCTCACCCCCCCTCCCGCCATCTCTTCTTTCGCCAACCCCCTTCCCCTCCCCTCCCCCACACACTTTCCCCACTCTTCGCCTTCCCCAACTTTTCGTCTCCCCCCCCCCCCCCCTCCCCGCCCCACTTCCCCCTCACTTTCTCCCCCCTCCTCCCTCCGTTCCCCCAGTCTGGAGGTGGGGCGGGCGGCTCAGCGCGCAGCCAAGGGATGGCTGGTTATGGGAAAGGCGGGGGGAGGCGGAGAGCAGGGCGGGGCGCTCGGGGGAAAGGGGGCGGGCTCTTTTGCGCGTTGGGGCGGGAGCAAGAGCGGTAGCGGGGCGGGGTTGAAGGAGGGGGAGGACTGGGAGGGCGGGGAGGAGGGGGAAGGGGAGGCGGAGCAGGGGGAGGGGGAGGCTGCGTCCGCGGAAGTGGGGCGGAACATGGCGTTCTGGCGCGCATGCGTGAAAGTGGAGATGTTTCTCAAGGTGACTAAAACGGGGGGGGGGGAGGGGGGAAGTAAGGGGTTTGTAAGGATGGAAAGACGGGGAAAGTTATGGTGGGTGGGGGAGGGGGTGGGGATGGGAGAATGGGGGTGGGAGAGTGGTTCTGGTTTGAGAAAAATTGGGAGGAAAGGGCCGTGGCAATGCATGTCGCACTCTCTTGAGAGAGAGAAAAAATGTTATAGAGAGTTGGAATGGAAAGAGAATTCGCTCTTTTCCTCACCCATATTCCCTCATTTTCTCTCCTTCCCTCTCCCCTTACCCTCTCCCCTTACCCTCTCCCCTTACCCTCTCCCCTTACCCTCTCCCCTTACCCTCTCCTCTTACCCTCTCCCCTTACCCTCTCCCCTTACCCTCTCCCCTTACCCTCTCCCCTTACCCTCTCCCCTTACCCTCTCCCCTTACCCTCTCCCCTTACCCTCTCCCCTTACCCTCTCCCCTTACCCTCTCCCCTTACCCTCTCCCCTTACCCTCTCCCCTTACCCCTCTTTCTCTCCCCTCCCCCCCCCTTCCACCCACACCCCCTGTCCTTCGTCCCTCCCCACCTATCTGCAACTCTCTGATATTCTGGTCAATCCTCTTCCCTCTTCCCACCGCCTTCCCCCAATCCGTTTCCCTCCCCTCTCACCCGCGCCTCCTTTCCCCTCTCCCCCCTGTGCCGGGCAGATCTGTCGCAGCATAGGGCTGTACGACGTGAATGTCTTCACCCCACCCGATCTGGTGGAGAGGCGTGACCTCAGGCGGGTGTATCTGTGCCTACGCACTCTCAGCAAGCGAACAATTGGAATCAAGGTGAGTCAACGCGGGTCAACGCGGGTCAAACGCGTCATCAAGTCAAATGAGTCAAAACAAGGCAAACGAGTGGAGACAAAGAGCAAGGTTAGAGAAGCCAGCAAAGGAGGAGCGAGGCCGACGGAAAAATAATAATATGTTTTTTTTTTTTTTTTTTGCCTTGGCCCTCTCAATTATCAACATGTCCCTTCTGCTCCTGCTCTTTCTCCATGCAGCAACCCTGTAATATCACCCTCTATATGATCACTCCCTTTACTATCGCACCTCCCCTCAGCCCTCTGTTCTTCCATTACGTCTCAGGACCATCAGCACTTCCTTTCCTATCCCGTCTGGACTTTTGAGGCGCCTCAACAATCGCCCTCTGCTCTCCCATGATCTCTGTTGAGAATTCTAAAAAATGATAAAAAATGATCTCTCAGGACCTTTATCACTTCCTATCCAGGTCTTGGACTTTTGAGGCCAGTTTGGTGAGTGGCTGACTGACTTGTGAGCCAACTCAAAAGCTCTCTCTTTTCCTCTCTCTGTTGGTCCCTTCTCTTCCAAACCTCATCCAGGATTTTGAGGGCAACATGGTGACTGCCACGTCAGCAACACGCCACCGGCTCATGTCGTCTGTATCCAACACCATCCGACACACCACTGCCGCCCTCTCCCTCTCGCCCTCCCTCTCCTCCTCCACCTCTCAATCCAAACCACCTCCAGCCCTACCGCCCCCAGCTGCACCCCTCCCAGCTGCACCCCTCCCAGCTGCATCCCTCCCAGCTGCACCCCTCCCAGCTGCACCACCGCCCCCAGCTATGATTTCTGATGCACCCTCCCCAGTTGCGCCCTCCCCAGTTGCACCCTCCCCAGCAGTGCCGCCTCCCAAGCCAGTCCCACCGCCACCAAGTCTACCCTCCTTGGTTCCAATCTCCCCACCACCACCACCAGCACCACCCTCCCCACGGATTTCTGCACCTCTGAACCCCTCCAACTCATCCCTTCACCTCCCTCCTCCTGCCGCTGCCTCTGCCGCTGCCCCTGCCACTGCCCCTGCCGCTGCCCCAGCCGCTGCTCCTGCTGCGTCCTCACCCTCCCCAGCCTCGTTTGGCAATCCTCTAAGTGGGGTCCTTCCCTCCCCACCATCTCCCTCTCTCTGCTCCCCCTCCCCCACCCCCTCCGCCTCCCCCCTCTCCGCCTCCCCAGCTTCTGATTCCCCAAGCCCCTCTCTCCTGCCCGAACCGGACCAGCTCCTTCCGCTCTCCCCCTTCCCCTCTGCATCCTCCCTTGCATCATCCCTCACTTCCACTCGCTCCTTCGCCACTCCCACCAGTGCTGCCTCCTCCCTCACCCTAGCCACTGCTAGTGCCACTAGCGCCGCTGCTGCTTCTAGTGCCGCCACTGTTACTAGCGCCACTGCTGCCACTGCCGCCACATCCGCTGCGGCTGCTACAGTTGCTACAGCCGGGCAGGGGGCAGCAGTGAATCGCAGCATTCCCCGGTGGTGGGCGCCTGCCTATCCCCGAACTGCCAGCCCCTCTCGCCGCTTCTCCCATTCTTCTTCAGTCGTTGCCTGGCAAGCGTCTAGTGCTGCTGCTGCTGCTGCTGCTGCTGCAGCTGCTGCTGGTACTGCTGGTGGTGCCGGTGGTGGTGTTGGTGCCGCTGGTGCTGGGGTTGCTACCGCTGGTGTGTCTAGGGTGGTTAGGGGTGATTATTTGCCGAACCTGCCGACTTGGCTCGGCCCGGAGCAGCAGGCGGTGGTTCGGTCGCGATCCCCGGCTCGGGTGCCCCCGTGGGTGGTGAGGGAGGGGGGAGGGCCAGCAGAAGCTGTACGGGGGAGGCGGAGGGCGGCATCAGTTACTGCGGTGCAGAGGGTATGTGATGCGGTGCACTGCGGTGCAAATTGAATGTGAATGCAGTGCAAAATGTGTGTGTTCATATGCAAACGGGTGTGGTGCACAGGGTACCCATGCGAATCTCTCCTTAAAGCTCGTCTTTCTCTCCCTCTCACATCTCCTTATTCGCATTCCTCCTTACCCTTCTCTTTCCTTCTTCCCCCATCTTGACCCCTCTCCTTCCCACCTACACAGGCCCCACCCGCTACAGTCACACCCAGGCAGCCAACACCCCCTCGCACCCACACCTCCCCTCTGCGATCCATCTCCCCCACTCCCACCGCTTTCCACCCATCCGAACCGGAGTCCCTCCCTGACACAACCACTATGGGAAGGGGCGGAGGGGGGCGGATAGGACAGTGGGAGGAGTTAGGTTTACTAGATCAACAGCAGGAGGAGCAGCAGGGGAGGGGGCTAGGGGCACGGAAGTGGCAGTTGCTGGCAGCAGCAGGGGCGGCAGTGCTGGTGGGGGGAGCGGTGGTGATGGCAGCTCAGCGGCATCAACGGCTGAGATCGGCCGGAGCGAGCAGCGATCGGGAGATTGAGAATCTGAGGAGGAGGGGGACGAGAGCGAGTGGGGGAGGAGTGGGGGGATTTGGGGGATTGGAGAGGGTAGGGGTAGAACGGACAAAAGGATTAGCAGAGAAGGCTGCTGAGGGGAATGGCTCAGTTGAAGCACATTCGGGATCAGCGGAAGGGGAGGTGGGATCCGAGGGAGGGTTTTCCCACTGGCTGGCTTCTCTACCCACTGGTGCAAAGCTCACTGAGAAGGAGTTTGATGAGAGGTAAAGTGGTGCTGAGCGGTGGTGAGTGGTGATTAGCATTGTATTGGCCAGGTTGTGATGAGCTCTGATGGGTGGCTGGAAGGGGCTTTAAAATGCGAGAGCTTAGAAGATGGAAAACCTCATGGTTCACTTTGCTAAGTTCTAGCCATGGTTGACTTACATTTTCCCCACTTCAATGGCCGATGTTACAATGCCCGCCCATTCCCATGCTTCAGATTCAAGCAGCTTGAAAAGGAGGCAGTGGAGGTGGAGGAGGAGTTCTTGCGCTGTCTGGGGCCGGCCTACAACGAGTACGGGGACAACGATGACGACGAGGAGGAGATGATGTCATTCATCGCTGCCGTCACCAGCAATCCGGCCCCGGTTAAGAGTAGTGTGGTTACCACTGCACTTGGTGCGACTCACACAGCGATGCCAGAGTCAGCAACAGCAGCAGGATCAGCACGATCAGCAGTGAGGGAAGCGGCAACTGGAAGGACTGCACGCGGGGCAGCAGGGGCAGCAGGGGCAGCAAGGGCAGCAGGGGTAGGCAGAGGTTCAAGCTCCCTGCGTGAAGCCAGTCCTAAGGGAAAGACCTCGGCTGGGGGAAACACGAGAAGTGGCGAGTTTGACAAATGGGCCCCGTTTGATGAATCCCACCTGACCATCGACCCGTTTGAGGGGCGAGATGGTGCCTGTGAGCGAGGCAGCAGCAGCAGCAATGCAGCGGGCATGAATGGAAAACCTCGGGGGAAATTCGGCAGCAGCAGCAGCCGCAGCAGCAACAGCAATGTGAGTGGTGGGAATGGCATACGAGCGACTGTGAGCAGCAGCAACAGCAGGCTGAGCAGCCAAGGGGCATGTGAGCGAGGCAGCAGCAGCAGCAGCAGCAGCAGCAGCAGCAGCAGCAGCAGCAGCAGCAGCAGGAAGGGGTCGAGCAGAGGGTATAGTAATGGCAGTGGCAGAGACAATAGCAGAGAGAATAGCAGTGGCAACAACAGCAGTGTAACGCACCGGTTTTCAAGCCCCCCCAGGAAGGAGTTTCAGCAGCAGCTTATACCGGATCTCCTTGTGAAGAGAGCAACTCATGAGAGGGCCAGCAGCGGCAATAGGGACAGCAGTAGCAGCATCAGCAGCGGGGGCACCACCAGGTCACCCGTTGCAGCTCCAGGGGCAGCTGTAGCAGCAGCAGGGGGCAGAGTTGGAGGCATGGCAGGAGGCACAGCAACAGGGCAGAAGCGAGCGGCTTTCAGAATATCTGAAGAGCTGGCGGGTGAGTCGATTGAAACGCTGTTGGCCGGTGCTGGATCCATGCAAACGTCCAGGTCCGGTGAATCTATGCAACCCTCCCTTAGTGGTGTGCCTAGGGCCAGCGGCAAGGGAGGCCAATCAGGTGCAACCACAGAAGTAGCCAAGGCTGCAGGAAAGGGTGCAGCTAAGGGTGCAGTAAGGGTTGTGGGTGGTGGTGGTGGCTCTATTGGGAGGGCTGGAGGCCGGGTGCATGAGGTGCAGCCGGGAGAGACACTCTCTGGGATTGCAGTGAGAGAGGGGTGTACTGTTGCGGATATTTTGAGGGCCAACCCTCATATTGCATCGCCAAATTGTATTTATGCGCGTGACCGCCTTGTGCTCTAGAAGGGGCTTACAGCGTTCGTGTGTGTGGGCTCGTGTGTTTTTCTCACTTGACCAAGTCATACCTTATGCTGCTTTGATAGAGTAGTGAATTTTTGTTATCCTCGTTGTATCGCCCTCAGCAGAGTCAGGACGCTGAACTGCGGCCCCTCGTCAGTTTCTTCAAAGTTTAGGGTTCATGGAAAATCACATTGTAATGCGTCTTGCCTGAAATGGGAAATCACGTCGTAGTTTTTCATTACTGCAAGGAGAAGGCAACTAAGGTAAATCAATTCAGCTTAGCATAGTTGCAGTAGTATATTTTTTTTGGACTTCCTGTGATTTGCAGTTTTCTGTGTTCATCTTGTATGCTCGTTATAAATCTCGTGGCGCATTGATTGCAGTACTGCATATTCATACGTCACTAGGCTGGCAAGACCGGCAAAACCAACCAACGAGAAGAAAGCGCGTTGTGCAACCTACAGTGTTTTCATGGGCGGCATATCACACATCATGATTACTCTTGTATTGAACCCAGAATCATCAAATGGCTTTTGTGTTGATTCCCCCAAGATGGTGGAACCAGTGGACAACACATCCGCAATGATCGAGAAAAAAACATGCAGTGAAACACTTCTCTTTGGAGTACACTCGCGGCCCAGCTTATTGCGTTAGTTTGCTCGTTGCCGCAACTTAGACCGTCCCTCTTGCAACTGAGCACCGGCAAAGGCACCCGATTAATCGCGTTGGAGATCACACATCGAGCGCTGCTATCCCTCCGTTCAGATTTTGAAGTTCCCAATATTGCCCAGTTTCTACCATCCCTGTGGTAAATATTGCAAGCTTCGAGAAACGCGGAGCCTACCAGCAGCATTTCAGAGCACACGTTCACGTTCACTCATATCACACGGGCCCTATTGCTGCTGCTGCTGGTACCTTGGCCAGGATACGTTGGCCAATGCCCATGTGTTTGCCACTCAGCTTGCTTGGCTGGTGCAAGCCGAGCGCATCTGCATTCCCACAACCCTCCCAACAATCCCATAGGAATGAAGTGCTTTTACATAAGCAGCAAGGTGCATGTCCCCACCACACTGCTCTGGAATTGAGGGAGTTAACTGCCAAATCCACCCTTTCAACTCTGTTGCTTGGATACACCTCCGAGCTGCCCCAGAAGTGCAAAACAGTTCTGGTTCGTGATTCGTGAATAGTGATAAATCAATGGGGCCTGCATTCTTTGGGACCGACAGATGTGGATCACGAGCGGTCCTAAACTGCAGGTTGCTAACAATCATGAGTGCGTAGCGCAAGTGGGGTGACGTGAGCTGCACAAAGAACCCTGTTTGCCAGCACGATATCCTCGTCCTTCCAAGAATTCAACGGGCAGTCTGAAACATTTGAAACACCAATTGCTGGGGTTCATTTGAGTTTGACCCTTGAAAGCCGCACATCAGATTGGGCTCGTATCGTAACGTCGAAATGTACACGGCGACCAACGACGATCGTGCTTGGAAAAGAAGGCCACTGGTGCAATTTCCAGTGTGATTCAGGGTGAAAACACGCCATGTTCTTGCAATTTTTAGCCAGCCTTTGCAGGAAGTGAGTATGAACCACCACAGGGTTTCAAAAGGTACAGCGGAACGCTGCATTCTGTTTATGCATCCCAGCGTGGAAATACTTTTCTTCAAAGAAATTCGGACCACACACCTGGTTGACAAAAAACCATCACGGTCTTGGCACAATTGAGGGCCTGTCTTGCCTGCTACAGTACAAATACAGTTCATCTAGAATGTCTACAGCGTCTGGTCAACAGCACTGATGCCATGGCACCTTCCCTTGGCTCCCGAAGTCATTCCCCCGGTTCACCACTGTGGGCAAATTTCCCTAGTTCATCTAGAACCTAGGGCTTTTTCAAAGATTCCAAAACGAGTTCAAGGGGAGTCTCGACGAAACTTGGCTCACGTGCTCCAATCACTAAGAGAGTTTTAGGGGGTAGCTATGCTCTATGTTTCCATTGCGTACATGCTGTACATAATATACGTAGTGTGGTGGCACACTAAGAGAGGTTAGGGTGACTCATGAACAATGAGTATCAGGGTGTACACGTACCTGCAAGAATATTTAATAGATTTGTTGTAACAGTCCTCCAACCACGTGACCTGCAAGTGTACTGTCAATGCCCATTACAAGAAGATCAGGTAGGCGGGCGGCATGTGATTGAAACGTGTTTTGGCTTTTCGCTCACTCGTCGGTACTTTCGCCCTCGTCGCCCCAGGCAAAATTGTGACTAAAAAATGAAAGTGGAATGTTGGGTTTTAATCTCGTAACCAGGTCACCACTCTGATGACGTGGATCCTTTGTTGTTTGTGCAGTGTAGATGTTGACTTCCGCACATAGGTGACTGTACAGCGGAAATATCATAATGCTCAATTCAGTCACCCCACGGGGAAAAACGTTCGCGAGTGAATAAATTTGTAATAGTGTGAGCAATTTTTTTGTGATAGGGTGAGCATCGACTGTATCACATGGACGGTTCAAAGTTGGATGGATGGATGTTGGAAGGAGGAATTGACAAAACCAAACTGCATTTCACCACAGTAAATCGCCACTGGTGACCCAAATGCACTTGGGTGACCAACCAAGCCCCGTCAACAAATATTCCAGGCAACAAAAAAAGACTTACAGCTGTCAGGTCTACGCGTTAGAAAGCACGACGAATGAATCACCCACACAACCCACTGCGATATCGTGCTTCCCTCACGCTCCACACATGTGTCAGAATCATACCTTCACTACCATTCTTGTTGGCCCTCCATGCAGAGTTTCATTCCATGAGCTCACCTGGGACTTACACGTCTTGCCTAGTAACCAGCGATAGCCTTCGCGAGATAAATTATCCATTCTTTTCACCAGTTCCTGACCGTTTCCAAGCGGGGGAAACGGAGCCAAATGTGTGCCGTTCGTGGCGGAAAGGCAGTGATAATCCGCGGCGCGGGAGACGACGATGTTCGCGGCGCGGCAGCGGCAGATTCCCCCATGCAAGCAACTAGAATGTGGTCGAAACAGGTACCCTTCCAAATACTACTGCCCAGTCCGGTTTCGCTTCTTAGCAACATCACGAAATCGCTTTACTAGCTCTCAGATACCCAGAACCGCATTACATCGCGCTTTGCTTCCAGAGCAGAGCAACAGCTGTTTGAGACTCTGTCCCAAGAAGACTCTTACTAAGTGAAATTGTGGAGATCTGCATTTGGCGAGGACTTGATTTGCCATTTTTTCCTCTATGGTTAACCAACTCCGCCTGAGCTCCTTTAAGCGCCGCCTGCTGCCGCCTGCTGTCTGTTGTCTCCTTCACAGAACCGTTTTTGCATCCTCCCCATCTTCCCCTCCCCCTCTGTCCTTCGTTTCCCCCCTCCCCCTCTTTCCTTCTTTTCCCCCGTCCCCCTTCTCGTCCCCCAAACCCACCCTCTCCCCGGGTCCCTCCCCGCTTCTCCTCCCCCCCGCTCCGCCTCAGGAGGGCGCGTTGCTACTGCGCCATGCACTGCGCTACGGCACGAGGCAGTGGGGCGCGCTCGAGAAGAGCTCCCAGCTGCCTGCTGCCGCATTTCTCCCTCCTCCCCTCAATTATGACCCTTCCTCTCCTCCTCCCCTCCTTCAGAAGGGCGCGATGCTACTGCGCCATGCACTGCGCTACGGCACGAGGCAGTGGGGCGCACTCGAGAAGAGCTCCCAGCTGCTGCACTCCCCCCGTCTCCCCTGTCGTCCCTCACGCCCCATCTTCCCCTCCTACCCTTCCCCATGTCTCAGGAGGACGCGACGCTACTGCGCCATGCACTGCGCTATGGCACGAGACAGTGGGGCGCGCTGGAGAAAAGCTCCCTATTGCCCCACCGAGACAACAAGTCCTGCTGTAACCGCTTCCTCTTCCTCAAAAAGTGAGCCACCCGGTCCGCCTACCCCCCGTCCCCCCTTCACTTTCTCTCCCTCCTCCTGCTCCTCTCAAGTTGTTTGATCCTGCCTTTTTGTAATGCCTTTCCTGCATCTTCTGGCTATAACCCTTCCTCGCACCCACCAACCTCCAATCTCACCTAAACCGACCCTTCCAAGACTCATATCAAAACCTCACCTTGACTTCCCTTGAAATCTCCCACTGTTCAGGAAATTCACTGAAGCTCACCGGCGCTGGCAAGAGGGAAGGGACAAACGCTGCTTTGGAGAGAGGCCTGGAAGTCCCAAGAAAGACAAGGAAGGCTCGTCAACATGCGGACGGGTGGCAGAGAGTGGACGGGCGGCAGAGAGCGTCAGCAAGCGAAGCGACCGCGAGATTCCAGAGGCCTCGGCGGGAGAAGGCGCATCTGCTGCAGCACCTGAAGCACCACCTGAAGCACCACCTGAAGCACCGCCTGAAGCAACAGCAGGAGCAGCAGCAGCACCACCACCTCAAGCACCAGCAGCGGTGGCAGAACCAATGACGTACGGCCACCTGTCACTAGCGGCGTGCGAGTGGCTGTTCCTGGGCCTGGGAGAACCCAGGGACTGGCCAGAGCTTCACGACAATATCGCACTCACCGTTTCTGGCCTGAACGCTGGTGCAAGCAGCTTTGGGGGGAGTGCTGCTATTGATGGTGTCCTGGCCGCCGGTGGAAGCAGTATCGGTGCACTGAACCACGCTCGCATTGGTCTCAGCAGCGGAAGAGGGGATGGAGAAGGAGGAGGAAAGGGAGTGGGGGAAAGGGCCCGGTTTCCCCACCCAGATGGCTCCCCCTCGCTGGTTTCTAGTGATGCTGCCGCCGCTGCTTCTGCAGCTGCTGCTGCTGCCAGAGCTTCAACTCTTCCCTCCGCTCGCCCTACTTCATTCTCTGCTGCTCGCTCTTTGGCTCATGGCACTTTGTACAGTCCTCCTCCTTCCCACCAACCCTCTGCTTCCATAGCAACCCTGCTCCACACTCACTCGGAATTTTCCGGGCAGCCAACGTTTTCTCGACAGCCAGTATTCGCCGGTCAGCCAACTTTTTCCGGGCAGTCGA